CCATATCATAATGCATTGCATATAGGACACTTCTCCAACGATGCATACTGATTTCGAAACAAAATGCAATCATTAGGATATGCGTGTATTTTCTCATAACCTATGCCAGTAGAGCAAAAAATTTGCTTAGGCTCATATGTTTTGGTACGAAGTTTATTTTTCTCTGGAAGTATTTCTTGTAAAAGTGTAAGCAATGTAGTAAAACTCAAATCACTCCATCCATGATGCGCTTTCAAGTTATACAATTCTAATACTGCTAGAAATCTTGTGTGTCTTGTACATCCAACATACAATGGTTTTTCTGCATCACTTTTTAATATCTCAAATAAATTAGGACAATCACAAAGATCCTCTTCAATTGCATTTAGCATATCTTCAAGACCATCATCCTCATCACATATGCTTATGCCAAACTCATTTGAAGCATGACTTGTGCTATGAACTTGATCACTACATGAATCATAAGTCTTACCATGCCTTCTCCATCGTGTATAGAATTGATCAATTCCATGACACATTAAATGACCTAGCAAATCAGGCAGACTAATTTGCTTTCCATAACAACAAGCTAAGCAAGGAGAAACAATTTTTTCAGGATCTTTTGCATGCCTCATTACAAAACCAATAAACTCTTTCGCCCCATTTAAATATTCCATTAAACATCAATTAGATGACTTCTATTTTTGATCCATGTCTTCAACCTATTATAAATAAATAGTTAAGTACATAATTATTATACTTATTAATAACTTTCTATATTTTGTTATTTATCTCAAAATAAAATCAGTAGCATAACGGCTTAAAAATGGAAGTTTTTCAAGTTCAATCCATCTCTTTTGACTAATAGTATCTAATCAATCAATTAATCCAGCAAAACTCAATGATTTTCCATAGTTAAAAACAATAGCAAAAAATTATATTTGCCAACATATATCAAATCTAAAATAGAAAGTATTCAAAGCCAACAGATTAAATATTGTGACATTACTTCTTTAGTTATTCTTCTTGTTGTATCATATGTTTGGATCATTTTAGCTTGAATATCTCACAATATCAAATTACAAAACTATGTAAATAGTTGTTTAAATAATATTCTTTACTTAACAAAATTTAGCAGCATAACAACTTAAAAATTTCCGGGACCTAAAACTTCTTTTTAACTAATGGTACTTAATTAAACAATTCATATAGCATGTGTCATCAATTTTTCACAGCCCATAACAATAAAGATCATATTTGTCAACATATTATTCCACCTAAAATAGAAAACAAAAAATTATAGCTATCAAATACTTCCATATGTAACTGATAATAATTAATCATGTCTCATTAATTTTCTACCATATTTCAAGTTTTCATCAATAAATAGTTTTACAAACTCTAACCAGCTAAAATAAGATATATTAAGCAAGTTAAAATATTTATTACTAACAAACTTAAATTTGTAAGCTTTTGAAATAGTGTCAGCTTAAAAAATAAAAATACTTACAATATATTGTAGATTGAGCTAAACTAATATTGAGTGCCCTAAAAAAATAAATAACCAAATAAATAAAGTAAAATAAATGAATAATTTTACAAAATCTAACCAACTAAAGTAAAAAATATTAAGCAAGTTAAAATATTTATTACTAACAAGCTTAAATTTGTAAGCTTTTAAAATAATATGACCTTAAGAAATAAAAATACTTACAATGTATGATAGATTGAATTGAACTATACTGAGTGCCCTGCAAAAAAATAAACAAATAAATAAATAAAGTAAAGAGAGAGTGGGGATGAGGATGAGGGGTAAAGACAAAAGGAATATAAATCTACAATTGAGCATAACTATATTGAATGCCTTGCAAAAAAATAAATAAAATAAAAAGAGAGCGGGGATGAGAAAGAGGAGTGGGGATGGGAAAGAGGTGTGAGGACAAGGAGGAGTTGGGATAGGGACAAGGAAAGAAAAGTTGGGAAGGGAAGGGGATGGGGACTGTGGGTGGGGACCGAAAGGGGGTAGGAATGAGGAAGAAAAAATAGTGTGAGGACAAAAAAAGGATAGGAATAAAGAAGGAAAAAATGGGGTGGGGATCATGGGTGGGGATGAAAATAAGGACCGTGATATGAAAAGTAAAGTGGGGAGGAAAAATGAGAGGTGAGGATGTTTGGTGGAAAGGAGGAAGTGAGTGTGGAGACAAGAGGGAGCTACGGGGAAATGGGGAGTAAGAAAAACTGGTGAAAATGAGCAATGGGACTGGCGAGGGGTGATGATGTGGGGGAAAAAAGAGAGGGAAAAAAAACAGGGAGAAATAAAAAAGAAATTTAGCTCACTTGCTGTAGCATTTTCTAAGTGGGACCTCTTGTAGCGTTTGGTTTACAAAACACTACAGGTTTAAAATGACCCGCTGTAGCACTTTCTGCTTTCTCAAGAAAGCACTATAGCATGTGTGTATTTTTTTTAATTTTAATATATCTATTTTTACAAAGACCTTGGTATAGAAAATGGGATAGTGTGTGTGTATATATAGAAAAATCTTCTGTCGAAAGCTACAACAAGTGAGATATAGCAGATATAATATATTTTTTTAAAAAAAAAGATTTTCTGTATTGCTTTCTTGAAAAAGCGCTATAGGAAGCACCATACTAGCTGTAGCACTTTCTTAAAAAAGTGCTATAGAATAAGCTTTTTTTAATAAATTAATGAGTATTAGCTCTAGTGTTTTCATATTTAAATACTACAAAACTGGCGCCACAAATCAAATATATTGTAGTAGTGAGGGCTTATTAGTCAAGCTCGGGTGCTATTTTTCCGCTTGTGTTGATGTGCTTCTAGGTGCATATGCTTGCCTTTTGAAGCAGTTGCAGAATGCTTTTTCTCCTTGCCCATTGGAAGATTTTTTTTGTTTTTAATTAAAGAAATATTTTGTTTATCTATTGAGAATAACGAGCCTATCTATACTGCATAAATTTTGTTTGCTTTAAATGATGAATGATGCTTTTTGTTTATTAAAAACAGGATAAGAGGTGACAGATATGAAGATGAAGACAAAAAAGGAGATGGAAATAAAAAACGACGAGGAGGGAGGAAGAAACAATAGGAGAAGAAGGAGAGAGCAAGAACATATGTTTTGAGAGTCAGCTATGTCTTTCGTTTTTGTCCACTTGCGTTGGAAAATTGCTTCCCACCAAAAAAAAGGAGAAACTGATTTTTCTTTATGCAGATGAAAATTGCCGCCGTCGGAAAATAGCTTCCCAAAAAGTTGTCCAGCCAAACGCACAAAGCTTTTGGAAAATCTTGATTTTCTTTTTCTAGGGCCAGATTTTCAGCATGCTAAACCGGCCTAAACGTGCTCTAGCAATACGAGAAATGGAAAAGCAGAGAACGGACACACGGGCCACCATGATTCGATTTCCCTCCATGAGATTTGTGCCACTTTGTCTTAACCCAAGCTTTCCACCTCACCGCTTCACTTTTTTTTTAAATGATTCTGGAATTAGTTAACAACAACAAATGGGTTAAGAATAACTTTTTGTTTTTAAATATATTTTTATAATAAATAAGAAAAATGAAAAAATATGTAAAAAAATGTGATAAGGCAGAGTATGACAAATGAGAGATAATAAATAATTAAGATTAAAAAATATAAAACAAGTTTAAAATGAAAACTTATAAAATGAATCACACTTTTTTTTTTAATTTAAAACTTATAACCGGTACCAAAGGTAGTATTTTCCAGAGAGAATCACTCGGATGCTTATCATAACTCATTTGTAGGAGAAATTTTTAGTCCTAAATATAAATTACTAGGAGGATATTTAATAATCATTTTTTAATTTTATCTTTATTTAATTCTTGTCAGAAAGAGAGAGAGAGATAATCATTTCTTAATTTTACCTGATTTAATTCCTGTTAGAAAGAGAGAAAGAGGAGAGAGAGTTGACAAATTTGTAAATGCAAAGAAAAAAAACTTTAATAAAGATGAATTTGAAAAGTTTTATCATTTTAATGCATTTATATCCATGTCATCATGAAATCATTGTACATGTACCATCTCATTTATCTTCTCTCTGAGAATATGCTATTCAGCGTTTCACTCACTCTTAACTTCTCCCACACTTCCTTAGCTTTTCACTTGCTCTGAACTTCTCCCACACTCACAAACAGTCATATAAATAATTTTATTCAATCAAAAAGCAGTAAAAATTTCAAATTTAGTCATTCAATAAAAATGTTTTATAATAAGACTTGCAGGTATGGATTCATGGAGACGTATGCTATTTATGAGAGAGCTATTCTAAAAGTTTATATAGGAAAGACATCTTTGCCAAATTTGTGTTCCCTATTACTCTTCCAGGAGATGCCTTTCTTGTTTACTGCCAAAACATGGTTTTTATGGGAGAAGTTATGTGCATGAACAAACTCCAAGCTATAAGACCACAAGCTACAATTGCTCTGCCATTGGAAAAATCTTCATGCCTACAATCTTCGAATTCATGGCTCTGTTTATCTCTGTTTCTTGATTAAAAAGCAGAGGTGGCTGAGAGCAAATTTGATCTTGAATAATAGAGGGATCATATTCAGAGTGAAAGTTAGTGAAAATAATGTTGACTTACACAGCAAAGTAGGTTTGCATAATAGATCCTGCACAATCAAAGTGGACTAAGATTTAGTATACACGGCCTTAAAAATGGAGTAAAAAGAAAACCAACTAAATCTGAATTCAGCCAAAAATAAGACGCTCTTTGTGTGTTCTCTTTTCCTTTTGTCTTTTTGCTTTTGGGCGGTTAGGAGCGTTTTTAGTGATGATGAGGATAAACTTACAAAAAAGGCAACAATCAAAGGATAGCATGTGCCCCTTCCCTGGAAATATGATATGTTTGTTTTCTGATTGATAGTTGATACACACATACATGTTTCTGGTTGACCATGAAAACACAAAAGGACAAATTATTCATTACATCAAGTAGATAGCATAGCAAGGAGCTTTATATACACATGTAGTATATCACATGTATTATTTAAGCCTTAGCTGATTGCGGCTTAACTTCTCATGCAACCGTGTGATCACTGATGGATTCAGAGTGGCAAGGCCTAAAGAGAGAGCCACTAAGGATATTAGGACAGGGTAAAGGCTTTCAAAGTTAGCTATACTCAGACTTGACGTCTCTATATCACTCTGCTCTTCAAATTCAAAATCTTCAATGGAAGTGGGTAAGGAGTTCTTGGCCATCAGCTCACGATATGGCTCCACGTCTTGCGTCACATTTAAGATTGCATTTGAGAAATGGGAGGCCAGGATAGATCCCTTTGGGAATGCCTGAAAATACAAGGAATATGTAGCATCACATTTAGGTTTTATAGACCAACCACTGATAATGGTTGGAATGATTCGCTAATGACTTGATACCCATAAAAATATATATATTGAAAGAGCTCCTTTTATTTTCAAACTTAAATCAGATGAGCAAATACTATTAGGATTCTAAATAGTCGCACGAAATGTCATAACCATATAATTAGGGGAAATATATATAGATGGATAGAGTGAATAATGTACTCCCTTCCATACTAATTACTGGGAAAAGTTGGAAAACATTAATCTTTTTATCTTTCTAATTTTGACTTGAGTGTGAATGTGTAATTCCATTATTAAATTCTAACTTAGTATAACTCAATCTCTATGATTCAGTTTCTAAATTTTGTCTTAATGCAACTTAGTCCATATAGTTTAATTATTTAAAATATTAATCTCTATTTTTTTAAAAAAAAATATGTATTTCATAAAATTTACGGACTCAAGTTTAAAATGGTTAAAATTATAAAGATTAAGTTGCACTGAGTCAAAATTTAGAACGGACTTACAAATGAGTCAAAACTATAAAAATGAAAAAAACTAATGTTCCTGACAAATTAAAGTGTTAAATCAAAGCCCTATACTTGGTCTTAAATCTAGGGCAAAGATGTGGTAGTTAATTTCTAACTAGCTGTTGGCATCCCTTAATTCTTGAACAATATCTTATTGTGGTAACTAATTTTAACAAAGCATAGAATCGGAAAGTCACACACACACATGAAGTTAGCTAACTTTGCCATATGATGAAGAGAAGAGAGTGTAAGCACATGTGATGAGGAAAAGTAAGATGGAGTAGACTTACAAAGGCAAATCCGCCAGTTTTATAGTTCGGTCCTGTCATCATGAAATGAGATCTATATTTGGAGAGGAAGAGCGTGAGGTAAGGGGTTTCATCAAAAATGGCATCCACTCCTCCATGTTTGGTTCCTGTTGACAGTGATTCGTTGTACTTTTCGCGACTTCCTAGAGCCTTCAATTGGGACGAGTTGAGTTTGAGTTGGCTAACCAAAAACCCTTCCACCCATGACCCAGCTTGATATCCCACGGACAGGTTGCTGCTTTTAGTTTCATTTTCGTCCTTAAATGAAGGCTCTTTCATTTTGCTTTGTGTTAAAATTGACGTTAAATTCGCTGTGTAAACTTGCACCACCAACATGAATAAGAATGATGTCAGTATCACCATCCATCCTGTAGCACTGCTTGCAAAATTCTCCATAACATCTGTGATATATCATCGTACATACAAGATTGATGTCAAGTGTGTGATAGAGCATGTACGAGGCGCATATTGAAACAAAGTAACACATAATCAAAGTAAATATGCTACATAACAGAACTCACCGATCTTGTAAACAAGGAAGGGATTGAAGCGAAATTGGTTGGTTTCATTTCTTTCTAATATAATTATGATAATAGTTGCAGCCGAAAAAATCCCACCAAGAATTAACCATAGTGACCATTTGAAAGGTTTCAAGAGGATCCCCTTACTTATGGACGCATTCTCCACCCTTACCATCATTGTTACACTTGAATCTAAATATGGCAAAGTGAAATCAACACAGTTTGTACGATGTGCCACAACTGTGATGTCTCCAATTATAGCATCAAGATCCTGCAATATTTTCATATAGAGAGTAAGTGTTTTCAAGCGTAAAGGTAAGAAACCATATCCATAAATATATACATACATCATGCATTCATATTAGTATGCCAATATCATACCTGATTTTCCGTTAGAAACTTGAAAGATAAATTGATAGAAATAAAACAACTTAAAAAGAAAACGAAAACTTACCCTGTCTTTCATTTGGTTGCAGAGAATATCGTCATACATGGGAGTACCGCTTCTACTTTTGTTTGGCAAGGGGACAAACTCATAATCGAGCGGAAATGGCAAAACATCGACAACTTTTAAGAACACATGAAAAGCAAAGCCATTAATCATCACCGGCGTAGTCGAATTATCTACATTCACCAATTCAGGAAAAGAATTTGTTGTTACGACTCCAATCCTCAACTTTGGTGGTTTATCCAATGTGTCACCCGGCCACAATGGATCCTTTAGTTGGTATTTACCAGATATCTTAGCACCTTTACTAAAATTTTGAACAAGTCCAGTTTCAGGGCTCCAATAACCAATGACCCTTTCTCTCGCTCCTATCACATTGTATACTTCAAGCACCACCGATTGATCTAGTTGTCCCTTACTTAGACTAAAATTTAGGCCCGATGACTCGCTTGATGAGACATTAGCGGCTAGAATTTCGTCGCGAAGTTTTGCGCCATTGTCTGCGCCTGCCTTCTCCACTGCCATAGCCAATGCTTCAATTGTGTGATAAGCCCACCATCCATAGACTGTTAGGGTACGATTGAACCTGTAGATAAAATAACTCTCTTTCCACCTACGCCAACGTGTTTTGTTCGAATCCATTGGCCTCACTCCCAATGCACCTTGCATGTATCCTTTCAAAGGGTTCCCAGTCGTAACTTGAGGATCTGTTAAAGAAGATAACCCCTGGGTAAGTATCCAAGCATATCCTTCTCCCATCATGTCTTGTTCTTCTGCAGACTGAATAAATCTTATTCCCAAATCCATGCTCATATGGACAAGAAATACATGTGTTCGCCTGTTGTTTAACTTGACAAGAATGTCGTCAATTTCACCATCTGTTGAATCTGGATCAATGGCAGTTATGTTAACCATTCGTATGCCCGTATCTTTCAAGACATTGCTGAGGCATGGAATAAGGTGACCGCCATATTCAGTGTCTTCAAAAATGGGGACGATTGATTGCCACCCAAGAGCTTCAATGGTGGCAGCTATAGCTTGGAACTGAAAGCAATTAAGGCCTTGATTGGAGGATGGTGATGGAGGCGGCAAAAGGGATGGACCAGTTATGGGAAACCAAATAACAGGCACTTGGGATTCCAAACCAAGTTCCACTATAAAACCTGCTTGCTCTGAATTTTGGGGCCCCAAAATGGCCCGCACTTTGTGTTTCTCAATTAGTTCAGAAGCTGCTTGCATGTTCAAAGGTTGTCTCCAATTTCTATCACCTCCATCTCTCCATGTTAACATAAAGTAAGCCTATTTCATCCCAAAATAGGTCTACTCTACGTTAACTTGCAGAGTCAGGGAGATAAAACCGGAGCCCAACCAAAAAAAACAGAGAGAGCATATTAATAATTAATAAATAAAATGATATCCTTATGGCTGCCTAAAACTTTAATGAGGGAATGGCATTTAGGACCATCATATTAATTTAATTTTCAATTTGGTAGCGAAAGAATTTAAAACTTTAGTAAAAGGCTTTTGTTTTTCAATAATATTTATAAATAACTACAGTTTTTTATGAAACTATAAGAAGCTAATAAAAAAGGTCAAAAAAACTACAAAAACCTAATTAAAATCACATAAAACTTAGGTGAAATTATAAGAACCTGATTAATAAGAAATTATACGAACTTAAAAATAAGGTGAAACTACATAAATTTGCAGATTAATTTTTTAGAAAAAAGAAAAACAAAGGAGGCTTGGGTTCACTTTTTACATTAAAGACTGAGCCCAACCTGAAGCAAACTTTGATCATTAACAAAAATCACAGTACATGCACACTCTCAAAAAGACTCATGCTAATTTAAGTCATGTTTTCTAGTTAATGATCATTGCGAAAACTCTATCAAAAAATAATATTGTTTATAATTTTAGAGAGAAATTAAAATTGAGAAGATGGAGATGAGAGTAGGGGGAGCAACGTTACCATTTCCTGCCGCAGCGACGGCGTCGTTCTGAGAAACATTCCGGACAATAAGGCGAATCTTGGTGGCTGTATAATACTCTTTATCTTCGACGGCGAGGTAGGGGTGAGCAACAAACCCATTACCCGCTAGTCCGCCCATGACCCATAAAATTTTTGCTCATTTAAGCCCGCCCAATTAGCCCAAATAAGAGATTATAAACGGGCGGGCTTAAATGGGCAGGGTAGCCCATTAAACGGGTTGTGCTATGGGTAAGGTATTGGGCTGCCCATACCCGCCCGTTTAAGTTTTAATTTTTTTAAAATATTTTTATTCTTCATTTAATTGATAATATTGTTTCTCATTCATCTTTTATTAAACATTTATGCTTGTCTAAGCTTTTATTTTATCTTTTAGGTGAAAGTTGGAACTTTCAAAGTTTATGAGACTTTATGATTGGTGACTAATTTTATGATTTTATCAGACTTTGACTGTTTGCGAATCTAAGTGAGGTTGTGTGATTGAATATGATTGATGTTATTTCATATTTGATTTGCTATTTGGCATGCAAAATTTATTGACAGCTTCATAAGGTTACATATACAAAATAACTATACTGAAAAAAAAAATTTAAAAAAAATAAATGGGTTACCCCGTAACCCGGTTAGCCCAAATGGGCTGCCCCGTAACCCATTTAATACGGGCTAAATAGGTTACTACCGGGTTATGGGTTAGCCCATGCCCATTTATGAATAAATGGGCGGGCTATGGGCTAACCTTCGGGTTAGCCCACCCCGCCCATTGCTCAGCCCTACGGCGAGGGCGAGGCTGTTGTTAACCATTTTGCCAAGTTCTGAGTTCAGGTCAAGAATGACGCCTACTGGCACTCCATCTGGTTTGGCCGCCATGGAAGGTCTAAGCCATAACAGTACTAAGACCACACTCACACTTAAAAGAGCTTTCAAGCTTTTCTGCAACAACTCCGTCATTATTGATCTCAGTTCTCTCCCTTCTCTCTCTTCACTTGCTCCTCTATATATGCGCCAGCCGCCATTATTATTATACCCTTTTCCCTCTTCTTTTGTCTTTATTATATCATTTTCTTTTGGGATTAAATTTTAACTTCCGTTTTCGCATTCCCAATTTCCTACTCTTAATTTGTATAATGCCTATAGGGCTGTGTTTGGTATGAAGGATTTAGGAGGGAGGGAAGAGAAGGGATTTTAATCATTTTGCCTTGTTTGGAAAATCTCAACCTCCCCTCTAAAATTGGGAGGATTTAGAGGGAAAAAGCAATATTTTGCTATATTGTGACCACTATGCCCATATTTTGTCATATTATGACTATTATGTTCATATTTTATCATGTTGTGACTATTATGCCCATATTTTAAATAAAATAAGAGTAAAATTGTTCATATTAAAATATTTTTCCCTCCCCTCCCTTTTTTTTTTATAAATCCAAACAAGATAATATTAAAATCCTTCCACTCTCCTCCCCTCTCTTTCTCTCCATTAAAATCCCTCACCTCCCCTTCTTCTCATTGAGCCAAACATACCCTAGAGGTTATTATGAACGAATATTCTCATTTCTATCATCGTCACGCTTATCCACTTTTTTCTCACTGTTTCCTTCCTCACCATGCCCTTGCACACGGTAAAGTCAAGCATCTTAGACATAATAGTTAGTTTTTTTTTTTTAAAAAAAAAAGGCACCTATCCTTATGGAAAAAAAGATAATAAAATATCATAAAAATTGCTAAAAGACAAATCAGCGTGGATGAATTTTAAAATTCCAATTCAGACCTCTTTATCATTTTGGAATTTTCAAATCTTACAACATTATACAAATGTCATTCACTATTAAAAAAAAATTTATTGTCACATCAACACCCTTAATAGGTTTCTGGCCACTAGAGCTCCCATGCCAAGAGCCCTATTAGGTCAGCCACTAAAGCTCCGATGACATGTCACCGAAATGTATTGAATTTTTTTTTTTAGTTATTGACTACATTTGTTTTTAGAACTCCAATAACTACTTTTGTTTAGCTATTGACCACTTTATTATTGCAATTGATTACTTTCATTTTTAAAAATTTGTTGATTACTCTTGTTTAGCTATTGACTACTCTAATTTCGCTAGTGATTATTTTTATTTCAAAAATTCAAAAAATACATTAAATGTTGTTGGAGATCTAGTAACTACTTTTTGTTTAGTTATTTACTACTCTTTTATAGTCAATAACTATATAAAAGTAGTTATCAAAATTTTAAAAACAAAAGTACTCAATAGTTAAATTATAGTAGTTAACAGCTCTATGAAACTAATTACCAGGAATAAGGACAGTATTATCATTTCACAATATTTTAAAATTTCAAAATAGTATAAGGAGTCTGATTTGGAATTTTAGAATTCACTCGCTCTAATTTGTCCTCTAATATTTTTAAGAGTATTTTAGTATCTTTTTCGCTATCTTTATTCGTTTATTTATATTAGTAATTTATATACATACATATAATAAATTATAATCCATATGCTCCCTATGGTCCTTGATACACACAAGTTACTCCTAGGAAAACTGTTTGGTTAATAAGTTGCCTAGAGAGTAATTAATTATTCTTTCTCAATTTTGTCTGTATAATTAATGCTTAAATGTGGCTCCTTATAATTTTTCTCTTCTTTATAACCTCATTTAATATAAGTAAAGTTGAAAAAAATTTAATTTAAGACATATTTAGTGTGTTAGCCTTCATTTTTTTATTTCTGTGAATTAGTCGAAGACACTCAAGACAGGAGGGAGTATAAATTTTTTTGGTCAAACAGGAGGGAGTATTCAATCCATATATTTACCAATTCATGCATATAACTATTCAAAAGTCATTGTTGATTTCTCGCGCTTTATAGGTATAATCGTGTCTAAACATTTTTAGGCAATTGCGATTCATGTTTGCAAATAAATATCAAAAGTGTAAATTTTTTTCAGATAATTAGTTTATATATTTTATCATACAAATTATATATAAAGTAGATCCATTTTTTGGTGTAATGCACAGTATAAATAACAATATGATAAAAACTTTTTCTGACTGAAAGATACATTCATTTCAGTTCAACATGTTAGGCGCATATTAACTTTAATCCAAATTTAAATGTATAGCACAAAAAGTAAAGAGAATAATTAAAGTTAAAAATAGTAATGATAAATAACAAAAAGTGGCTTTTGGATTAGTCAGTGTTACGTTTGAAAATAAGTTTATATTACCAAAAAAAAATAAAGGCAAGACCAGGTTCAGGTTTTTAAAAATAAAAAAAAACAAAGAAAAGACAAGACCAGGTTTAGTAGTATCACTTTTGAATATATTGAAGAATGAAGTAGTTTATAGCCTATAAATAATAGGACAATACTTACATCAAATTTTACAATCACAAAAATACTTACATCAAGTTTCTTATATTTATTATATTAAGTTCTCTAATCACATATAACCATGTGTTCACTATTTTTAAAATATTAGTATCACTCGTAGAAGATTGTTGCAGGCATATAGATTTTAGATATATGGATTCTTAAAACATAAAATAGTGCATAAGTTTTTTTCATATATAAACTGAGACCAGTAAGAAGCTAGAAAAAATTGACACCGGAAAATTTTATCTATATATAATTGGCCAAAGAGGTGTCCTTTAGAAATAAAAATATATCCGATACTGATATGAGGATTTATTAATAGATGATTTGTAGGTATTTCTACAAGTGCTTTTTAACCTTAGAGAGCACACCTTATCCGAGTAAATCCTCCAGGACTGACCCAAGTTTTTTTATTAAATAAATTAGAAAAAATTAGACTTAGGTCTCAATTAAGAGATTTTATTATTGCAAAGTTCTTTGAAATTTTCAAAGTAATCTCAAGTTCCAAGGGATATGTGGATGGAATATTGCAATTGTGACTGAACCATTTTACCAC